GTTGGTTGGGGGGGGTGTGGATGGCCAGCCGCTACTGCCACTGCATGCTTCTCCCTCCATGTCTGGCCATCTGGGCAGCACCTGTTTGGCCCACAGAGGGGCACCGCTGATCTTGCCCCACCCCAGCCCTGCTCCTGTGAGGTGGCAGCATGGGGTGGTGGTACTTAATCCCCGCCCGCCCTTGCGTACCCCCTTGGACATTTCAAAGTACCCCTGGTGGTATGCGCAGCCCCCCAGTTGACAATCCCTGCTATAGTAGATGTAGGAAATTACAGAAAATAAAGGTAAAGTTATTTACCTTCAACTGCTGAGCTTTTAAAGGAGTCCACATGCACCTATTTTGCCTGGCTTATATGCACTGCATACTTCATCCAGCTATCAAAAGTTAGGCAAACATCTCTCAGTGCCCCTCCAGAAAGAACCTCCAAGGTCTGGCAGTCCCAGACTATGACACTAAAACATAGAACTGGACATCCCAGATATCTCCTGTGTTGCCTAACTGAGGTGCCCATGGAAGTAGTCTTCCATATTATTACTATAACACATGGGATGAGATGTAGACATACGGCACAAATGCAGAAACAAAGCACAACAGCTATCCCTAATTACTTAAACACACAGAAAAACACACCAGGTTTTTCACCTGGTGGTACAATTGGATAGACAGATCCTGTACATATCCTGCTGGTATAAGGAGCAACAAAGGTTCACTTCCAAGGGAGAGAGACTTAGGGTTTGAACAACCTCTGTTCTTCCCTGACTTATTTGACTTCAGAATATTGTAGTTGAGAGGAGTGAAATAAAATTGCATTGCCTACCCAAGGAAAGAGGCACATAGATAAAAAAAATTCAACTTTCTCCAAGGGTTGGTTGTACTGTTGGTAACTGTTGGCAATTAGCTAGACATGCACTAGCTATCAGTCAATTAAGGCTGAGAATTAGAATGTGCTTTCTAACACTTAAATACGTATCTATAGCCCTAGATTAAAGCTATCTTAGATATAGCTATACAAGGTGAAATCTCATTTCCAATAGCAGTGTAGGGATAGTTTGAGTTCTCAAAGTTTAACAACAGTGATAAAAAGGTGATTAAATGCCCCACAAATGATCATGTTCCCCTTATAAATTCCATACATAACTATCTTGAATTTACTCCATAAACTCTTGGCCAGTCCCATCTGCATCACAAGACAAAAGATATTGAAGGCCAACAATGGATGTAAAACTACTATCAAGGAGGTCCACCGCCTCAGGAATTCATCAATCACTGTAATCAATGCTGTCAAAGGTTATGTCCATTGTAATCTATACTAATGACAATACAGGACAATTCTTACCAGATAGCTTTTGAATGCTTTGTCCAACCCAATTTTAAATGACATGTGAGCTAATGCTGTCGTCATTTCTCCTGGGAGACCATTCAAAAAGCCAGTAGAGTTTCCCTAGTAAGACTGTTTCCCCTGACATTAAGCTTAAAGAGTTTTCTTATAATTAACCCATATAGAAGGAAAGTACTTCCTGGCCTCTACTGGGAGCACTTTTACTAGCTCAGCTGCTGGTTGAAACTTCTTGCATTAGGGTGCATTGGGGGAGGGGAGGGGAGGGGAGGGGAGGAGCAGGCAGTGTTAAAGTACATGGCTAATAATTCTCTTCACGTTGACTTTGACTGCGGTTATGCCAGAAGAGAAAAGAAGCCACAGAGTACATTGGAATTACTGGCCATATGCACAACTAACTCAAGGTTCCCTTGTGGTAAGATCCTACCCCTCAGGTTTTCCAAGAGGATAGGACTGGACTCCACCTTGGTGACCTCTCCAAGAGATTTCCTTCTGGTTTGGGACTGAATCCATTGTCTCTTCCTTTACTCATGACAGTCATATCTGGAAGCATATTGTATACTGTAGGTTGTACATATTTGAAAAACAGCTCCAGAAATTGTGTTGTACTAGTCAAGAAAAAAATAAAAGGAAATTCAAGCAGAACATTGCTTTTCTTTTTTATGCATAATTCAAACACTTATTTTCTTCCAATAAGCATAAGACTACATGCACGGATTTCACTTTGATATGTTAACATAGCTAAAAGTGAGTGATGCCAATGGAGAGAACGCTCTTATTTTAGGAAATCTAACGACAGCTGGTGAAAAGAACAAGGTGATGTATAAAATGCTAAAGTACAATGATCAGAAAATGCATTACTTCTGGTAAGTACCAGTCTAGTTTTAGGAGTGATTTGTGCAATATGTAGCCGGCTTTAAGACTAAGAAAATATTCCAATATTTTCTTTCTTTCTTTCTTTTTAAATAGGGCTGTGGTTTTCAAGGGTTTCCAGAGAGTTTCTGTGGGACTTGATCCCTAATTTGTTTGTAAATCCCAGCCTCATCTGTTCATCAGTACTCCCATAATGTCTACAGGTCCTAGACAAGATTAGTGTGCCACTGCATTCAGTACTGTGCATGTGAAAGAAAAGGCTTTTGTACCAAAGAACAAATGTATTAGCTTATACTATGGTCAGTAGGTCAACACAAGCTGCTCCTTAAGCAAAGCAGAGAGGTAATGTTGTTAACCACAGACCTCCTTCACTGTTGCTTTACTGGAACGTCAGTGGGAAGGGAGGGCTTTCGACACAGACAGGGGTAGGCTCTGAGTCAGGCACATAGGACTTTGCACAACATGTTTATTTTTCAAGATCTTGTTCATGCCCTACAGATTTTTTGCTTGCATTTTTCTCATTTTGAATATTTGACCTCCCCCACCCCCGGTTGAGTTAAGCTGAAGACAATAAACACAGACCAATCTCAAAGTCTCCAGTCAGTTCCTGCTTTTTTAGTTCATCTTTGCTCTTGAGCCTGGACAGATACAGAATAACAACATGAAAACAAACCTCCTTGAAAAGTTCCGCCTTTCAACTAAGATTAAAATGTGTTTATCTGCTAGGCTGCCAAATGTCCTGTGTTCCAAAGGCGGTGGGAACCTTTAAGGCTTTCACAATCACAAACCCGGATCCCCTTTTAACAGAAGAATAGATGTTTTAACAAGCAGAGCCACTCATGCACTTGCTGAAAGTGACTCCAGCTTGTTCACAATGACACAACTATGTGCACAGCCACGTCATTGTTAGGGGCATAAAGACTGCTGCAGGTAAAGCATCACTAGAGATTTCCAAAAGAGGGATAGGAGTGCAGTGAGATTTCAGTCCAGCTTTCAACGCTCTTGGGGGCTATTTGATGACAAGGATTAGAGCTGCTTTGCCTCAAGGAAGGGGAACTGGACTGTCCCAATTCAGAGGTCCCAAATCAGAGGTATAATGATGCAGCCTGGCACCTGGGGCAGCCAATACACACATAGGGTTAGCAGTGATTTCCAGATGCTGCTACACCACTGGTGTGATCATGTGGCTGCAGCTGGCCATTTTTTTCTGCACCCCCTCCCTCAAGCTGGTGCCTAGGGTGACTGCCCCAATCACCTTGCCCTACTCGCAACTGGCTGTAACTAATGATTTGGAGAACTGGAAGTCTTCCTATTGTGAGGAGAGTGCAGCAGTCCTTTACCCTTTTGGTTGGAGCAATATACTCCCACTTTCCTCCCCCACCACCTATTCCATCTATTTCCACCCTGATCACCTACTCAGGTTGGTGTGTAGGAAATGGCTCCTCCCATTATCTCCCTACCTACACACTAAAAGGGACAAAAAATAGTAGGGACAAAAAATAATAACCCTACTTCTATGTGGCTAGAGCCACAACAGATAAGTACAGACAGTCAAAAAACCTGAGGCTGAATTGAATTGGCCTTCGCAGGTTAGTTTAAGTTGCATAGATTGAACTGATGAGCAAGCGAACAGACATTCACTTTTGATTCAAGAAATGCAGCCACATACCTGCAGTGGCTCAGGCCAGAAGTTGTGTGGTGGTAGAGCTCACCTTCCTGCTCAGCCGGAGCAGACAGCTTGGGCCATCACTAGCCTGCCCACCCTGTGTCGGGTGGGAGAGTGTGTGGGGAGGTGCAAAGCATCTTGGGATGCTGAGGGGCTCTGAGTTAATTTAAATCTGGAGGGGATCTGGGATAGAATTTCAATAAACTGATTTAATTTCAATCAGTTAAGTCTGGTACTACATCCATCCAGGTTTATCTTAAAACTGGTCAGCCATTTTGAAAGTGGTTTATGTGCACTGAACTCCTGTTGTGTTATAGATTTGAACTCGTTTCTGATCACTTACACTGGTTTATGTGTAATTTCTGTCCCTAGCCAACCTTTAGCTAAATAGGGCTTTAATGTGGCTCTTTGCCGGGTTTTGTCCCCATATGCAACTGATTATGTGCTGAAGCAATCTAGCCCTTGGTGATTTGGATTAAACCATTTCCAGGAAAGATTTTTGTGCAAGCAGTAGGAATTTGGAGGTCATATTTATACATATTTCAGGGATTTAGAAATGGCTTTAATAAAGGTTGTCAGTTAATTATCATAGAAACCCAGTTTCTCTTCAGCATAAGAATAAATAAGAGGGAATACATATCTGAAGTATTTATATTATGACATGACACATGCTGCAAGGAGTTTTTCCTGCCTCACTTTCTGAACCAGAGGAATTTGCCACTCATCAACTGATGTACATTTTAACCTCAGACTTCACTCACTCCATTACCCTTGCCCTGGCTATTCAATCAATGTAAGCCAGGAAAGCCTTGTT